ATGCCTCCTCTTACTTCCATCAATATAATGGAAGCAACTTAGGGCTGAAAAACACCATGCTCATTAAGAGTTTCAATTTGTTAATTTTCTGTGTTTGATGAGAAACAGATGCTGATTTTCAAGAGATATCTAAATAGATCCTCCCAAGAGTGCTTTTATAGTCGGAGTTGTAAATTGTAAAAATAGTTCAGAATGAACCAAAACTTAACTATACACGTTCTATTTTAAATGCAAAGACTTACATTTTTACAAATATACATTTTAAAAAATATTTTAAAAAATAATTTGAATTGGCTACTTGATAAAATTGGGATCATAATGGAAGATTCACATGGCATAAATCTAGTGGCGGGATTCAAATTTTTTTACTACTGGTTCTGTGGGCGTGGCTTGGGCGTGGCCATGTGACTGGATGGGCGTGACTCTTTTTTTTTTTTGCTTTTTTGCAGCCCCCACCCATTTTGGGGGCCTTCTGGGCCTCAGAAAAGCCTCTGGGAGGGCATTTTTGCTCCTCTAAAGCTCCTCTGAGGCTCAGGAAGAAAAAAAATAAGAGCATGGGAGGGGCGCACAGCACCCCTCCATGCTCCGTTTTGGGAACTTCCTGGCCTCAGAAGAGCCTCTGAGGGGAGGCGTTTTTGCTCCCCTAAAGCTCCTCTGAGGCTCAGGAAGAACAAAAACAGCATGGGAGGGGCACACAATACCCCTCCATGCTCCGTTTTGGGAGTTTCCTGGCCTCAGAGGAGCCTCTGGGGGGGCTGAGCCATTTTTTGCCTTACTGGGCCTCAGCAAGGGGAATCCCAGCCCAGCTGATCTATGTACAGCTGATTGTTGGGAGGGGGAAAAAAAGAAATACTTTAGGCAAATGACAGTCATGTGGGGTGAGCGAGCATCGGGCGGGAGGGCAGCCGAGTCAGGGGCGTGGCCAACCAGAACTTACTGCTGGTTTGGCGATCCACACCAAATTCTTGCTACTGGTTCGCCCGATCCAGTGTGAACTGGCGGAATACCACCACTGCACAAATCCATGGTATGCTGACTTCCAGGGAAGAAATGGCGGATGGATGATGGCTCCATGTAAAGTGGAACTGATGAACACTGCAGAATAAAGACCTGGTGAATAGACCTGCTCCTTAATAATTCCTTCCTGGACAAGGAATGGACTCGAGATTTCCACAAGTGCTCGAGACAGTTGCTCTTTGTGAGGAAACTACAAGACAGTGGTCTCTTGTGGGTTGAGAGCTCTCAGAGATGAGAGAATAGCCGTCTCGCTCAACCTGGAAAGGACACTAACTTTGCACTTTTCCTTTTCTGATCACTTTAGGAAATTGCTTATTGCTTATTTATGTACTGTGTTTATTAAAAAATATATTGCCACCCAACTTATATACAAGTCACTCCAGCTGGTTTACAGCATTAAAAGTCCACACCATCTCTCCCTCCCGCTCCCCTCATGGTAGCAGCAACACAATTAAATCAACCACTTGATCAGTTCTATTCCCATTTGTGGTTCGCAGATCTACTGACGAAACTACATCTTTTAGAAAAGCAACAAAGTAGTGGCCAATTATACTTTTGGTGAAATGATATTCACCATAGAGAAGAAGCCACCAACAGGAAAGTCTATTTTTTGGGGGGGGGGTCCCACAATAGATTAACCCTAATAAATGTTAAGCGCTTTTTAGCTATTAGGAATAGCTATTGGATTAGCACATTTGACAGCACCAGGTGAGTTTCCTTCCTTCCTTAGTAAAGAAGTTTTAAATAAAAGTGTAAGGACTAAAAACAACAACCACACAAATGCACAGTATGCTCAGAGGTCTAATAAAGCAAGAAGGATTGAACTATATATGAAGCTTTTAAGTATAAATGCAACAATTTCTGCAGACCTGCTTATGATGTTCAGCCAGATACAGTTGGTTCTAAATGAAACTGAAAACATTGGTGCAGAAGTCAGCTTATTTATATATTGTGCCAAATGTCTACTGCTGTTCTAAAAGTATACAGGGGTGTCAGCAACCCATAGCTCCAGAGCTGCATGTGGCTCTTTGGGCCCTCTGCTGCGGCTCCTGTCCCATCACTGGCTGCCCCTGCCCCTCACCCTCTCCTCCCTCACCTGGCCTGAAAAGGTAAGAACAACAGTGGGGGATGGAGAAGTGGCCAGGGCTGATTTTTGTGCCACCTCACTTTTGCTGGAGCTTCTTCCGGGCCTTGTTGGTGCTGAGTGTGCCTTGGTTGCTTGGGGAGATGCGCAACCTGCTCTCCGTCCTGAGACACTGGTCCGACCCGTCTGCGACCTTGCTAACATGAGGGCTGGTGGGGTGGGAATGGGATCCTGGAGGAGGGGATGCTGGAAAGGGAGATGGGCCCACAGTGCCCAACCATGTCTTTAAGAGATTCAGGGCAACGGGAAAGGGAGTTGGTCCTGCCGAACCTCACACACCCCACCTGGGAGTCCATCCTCCTCTCCCTCCTTTTGCAACTCCCTGGCCAGCTGAGTGGGTTTGGGAGGGTGCGCACACATGGGGAGACCCTCAAGCGAGTGGCCGCCAGCCTCGCACGCACCTTTGCTGTGCTTTGGCGCTTGCTTGAGGAGGATCTCCCTGCGTGTGTGCACCCTCCCAGTCACAGCTGGCCAGGGGTTCACGAGAGGGGAAGGAAGAGGAGGTCGGTCGTCCGAAGGGAAGCCTCCGCCATGGCTGGCACTCATTCCTCAGCCAGCCCAGATTTCTAAAAAGAAGAAATAAAAGGAGCAGTGAAGAGCCCCAAGGAGAGCTTGCTGGCTTGGTCCAGCTGCAGCTTTCACACACACACACACACACACACACACACACACACGAGATATAGAGAGAGATGGAGAGACATACAGAGAGATACACAGAGAGAGGGAGAGAGGGGAAGATAGGGAGAAGGGGAGAGATAAAGAGGGAGAGAGAGCGAGGTACAGGGGGGAGAGGAGAGCGAGGGAGATACAAAGCGAGGGAGGAGAGGCACATACAGAGAGAGAGGCACATACAGAGATACAGAGAGGGGGGGAAAGGGGGAGAGATGCAGAGAGGGAGGGAGGAGAGAGGGGAAGATAGGGAGGGGAGAGAGAGAGAAGGGGAGACAGATACAGAGAGTGGGAGAGATAGATACAGAGAGGGGGAGAGAGGAAGAGAGACAGGGAGGGAGGGTTTTGTGGCTGGGTAGGCGTGGCTAGGGGGGCAGGTGACTGGGTGGGAGTGAGTGACATCGAGTTGGCCATGCCCGCCCAGGTTTTGTGGCTCCTGGTGTTTTGTCCCCCCCCCCCCCCGGTCCAAATGGCTCTTTGAGTGTTTAAGGTTGCAGACCCTGTGTAGCCTTTGAATGAAATGCTCGATGAGTTGCTGTCTGAAAAAAATAAATCATTTTATTTATTTTTATGTTCGCAAAGCTAACATACAGAATGCTGGATAAATCAGATTAATACAAAAATAAAATAGCTTTAATAATGCAGGCTCATTTTAGTTTTGCTAAAGGAACAAATCCTCTTTTCTCATGCAGTTCAATATCTTGTACATGTTTTGAACTATGCGCTGTAGTATTTAGTGGATTGAAAGGTAGCAATCATACTAATCACTTTGGAACTCAAAAAATTGCTTCACTGTAACGAAACTCGAGAATATGAGAACTTCATTGCTGAATGCATAATTAATATGTGCACATGTGGATGCCAGTTGTTAGAACTGACATTCTGTTTTCTAATCTGATACCTCTTGCGATTTTCTAAATCATTGCATTTAACCTTTCATCAGATTTGTTGCATGAGCTGGAACAATGAGAGAATTACCTCTTCAGTAACTAAGCAATTCAGAAATTAGACATTTTAAAGGTGTTCAAAAAGGTTTATTACAACTTTGTGTTCTCCCTTTAAAAACTCCTGCCTTTGTGTGTGGATTAAACTGTTACAAAACATATACAGGTGTTCTTATTATTATGTACAATTGATGGGATGGATCTTCATTCTGATTCTTTATACCATTTATAATGCACATCATCCTGATATTTGGAGAAGTTATTATGAGGTGGATATTTTATGGCTTTAAAATACTCTACATCCAAATAAATAATGACTGCAACATGGATGAAAAAATCTGAACACTGGTTTTGGGGTGGTCAAATACTCAGACTGTAATATAATAATTTTAGATATTTGGTCCATATACAGAGTGAAATTGGGTTATTTGTTCTGAATATGACCAAAATGTTTTGAGTAGAAGGCGTATTAGAAATGATATGTTGGAAGCCTCTTCCTTACTGCTGAGACCATTGTAAGAAAAAATGGTTGCACAGACCATTTTAGCAGTGTAGCAGTGTTTGATGGGACGGAGGGAAGGAAGGGAGAATGCTGTGAAGATGGAAGAGACACAGATCACGACCCATTTCATTGTTCTGCTTGATGCAAATGATCATTCTGGGATCCCTTCAGATTTTGTTTCAGCCAAATTATGGTCAGAGTGAAGATTCAGCAGAATTGCTGGGACACAATGATTATTTTTTTTTTGTTTTGAAACAAAATATATTTTACATGTCATGCACACCCACAATTCCAATAAAGTGGTAAGTCATAATTTCAACATGACAAGCACAAGCTACAGTGAGTTTTGGAGCTGTGATCAACATGAACTATGGGATGTTGAAATGATCCTGATTCATAAAATAGGATTTGGCTAGCTTATTTGATCTAAATAATTGCCATTAATTGTTCAGCATGACACAAGATGGTGTCATGCTGTGCTTAGTATAACTAAATAAAAGCTTCAGCAAGTGAAAGTAGTGTATACATGAAGCTTGCTCCTACTCAATTATATTAGACTGTGTGCTACTTTTTATCATTTTCATGCATGTCTTCCTTTTTTACCCTTAATATCTTTTTTTAATCATATAATTTTAATACTTCTGTACAGTTAACCTGGAGTTATTTATTCAGGTACTTTAAAAAAAACTGTCAATGAATATTAAAAATACGACAATTGTTTTAGCTTCCAGAAAATGAAAAGCTGAAAATGCAAGACCAGCTAATAAATGCAACTCCTGGAAACAACGAACTGAAAAATAATGTCTTCTATAAGGTAAGTGAGCAGATTAGTGGTGGGATTCAAATATTTTTACCACCGGTTCAGTGGCCATGGCTTGGTGGGCGTGCTTGGTGCATGTGCACACACTTTGCATGGGTGCACATGCCAAACGCACATTTTGTGCAGGTGCAGAGGCGTTTTAACTCCTGCAAGCCTGCACTCTCCTGGTCAATTCAGTAGCTGCCACCCGGCACTCTGCTGTGCCACACAAAGCAGCTGCGGTTCAAATTTAGAGGATAAAGGTGAGTAGGGAAGCCCAGGCAGGCGGGTGGGCCCAACAGCAGAGTGGTGGAGAGAACCAGTTTGGTCTCCACTGCTCATTGCCGCTACCGGCTTGGAAGAACCGGGCCGAACCGGTAGAATACCAGCACTGGAGCAGATGGCAGCTGTGATAAGTTACAATTCTCCATCATTCTCTTCCTGGTTTTACAGTTTTTCTATTCAAAAGAGCAATATTGTTATTTCATATACCAGTTCTTTTGTGTAAAATATGGGTGATTGATTTACAGGTAGTCCTCAAGTTGTAACAGCAAATGGGACTGGGATTTCCATGGCTAAGCAAGGATGTTGGAAAAACTCAACATCACTAGGCCATATTGCTTAGTGATAGCAATTCCTGCAGTCTTTGTTGTCGTCAAATTCCGCCAGTTGTTAGCCAAGAACCCACCCCACTAGCTTGGATTCTTTGTGGGAATGTAACAATTCCAAATTGATGACACATTTAACTCCACCCTTCAGCCTTTTCTTCTACATAAATGATCATAAGTCAAAGTCTATCTCTATCCCAATACTACAGTACACTACCAGTATCCATGCAAATAAGTGGATGAATATTTTTCCAGGGTGAAAGTACGGTGTCGGGCTATTGAAATGTAACTTATATTTAAGAAAGAGCTGCAGTTTGTCTGAAGAAGCATTTGCTGAAACTTGAACTTACAAGTACTACTTAAGATCTGCTTCACAGAGCTAATTAATATATTTAACAAGGCCATGTGCCCTACTTCAGGAAGCAGACTCGATTGCTCTAAGTTTTAGAAATAATTTAGAAATCATTTTAATATCTGAAAATAACAGAAACCCTTTTTTGGTTATACTTTGGCTCCCATATATAGATATACTGATAACGTGCTCATCTGTGATATGATCCTACCCTCATGTAGCCATCTTCATTGGTCTCTATTAGTCTCAGGAGAGACTGTCAGAAGTAATGTATAGTAAAACAGTGCAGTCCATTTTGATGCATTTGCATGTTAATCTACATATTTTGTTTTAAATATATATCTTTTGTGAAATGAAAGTATCTGATCAGCAGTTTGCAATCATGTCAGTTTACACAGAAATTCATGCAGTTGTATAATACGTACCTTGTGACATTTAGATGTTCTTAATTTAGTTTTCCCTAACCCAGGGCATATCAGGACTGGTGTGCCTAGAATTTCCAGCCATCATGTTTGATAAAGTTAGTTTAAACATCTCCAGTGGAAACTAGATTGTCACATCGCATGGCTTGAAATCAAAATTTTCTTTCCTGGGTTTTAAAAATTGATTTGTTTTAAATCTCCAGATGTTTTGGACTGCAGGACCCATCACTCATACCAAAAAAAGTCATATAACATACTGGATGTCTGGTGCTAGGTGATTATCCAACACTAGGCTGGATAAAAGTGATCTATTGTAGTTTTAAATAGCATTTTATATAATTAATTGAAATAAAATTGTAGTCTATTCTTTTATAGATCATACTTTTTTTTTAAACAGGTCCCTTTCTGTGATGCTGCAGATTTAGTTCGTGTAAGAAAAGTTTACTTGCTTGGTGGATATGCCTATGTTCCTCAACAGGAGTTTGTTACTATTGTCCTCAACAGTTATAGAACCAAACTATCAAAAGCTCTGGCAGTATGTATTTTTTTCTTCTTCCTAATTTTCTGTGTTCTCTGCCTTGTTTTCTGTTTACAGGTATCAGCTTTGTATACTGTCAGGAAAAGACTGATTTCAGTTGGGTAGATTTAGCTTACAGCATTGATGTATTTTAAGCTTAGAAATTATAGTCATGTGAAAAAGTTGTACTGTATTGTGGGATCCTTAATGCTCTCTGAATTGGGTTATTTTCTTGCAGGTGTTTTATTATCCAACTAGGTAACATCATCAGTGCTAGAAGCGGGTAGGGTTTGCTCTCTGTTTATATACTAATGGCATTCTCTGTCCACATTGCTGCAGTATTCTTGGTATTTCTTTGATTAGGCTGTTGATTGTTTGTCTATTGTCAATCCTGAAAATAATCTCTGTTTATCTGGGTATTGATTGCTGGCAAGGAGCAGTTTTGGTCTTTTTGTTTTCTTTTTTCTTTTTTTATTGTCTCTTGAATGGTATGTGGGTGTTGCTTATCTCTGTGTATCTGTTGATGACTGATTGGTCTGAAAGCTTCGTTGGCATTTTTGGACTTAGCTGGGTCTAGGATGCTCACAATTTCCCAGTTGAAATTAAGGTTAAATCTGTCTCTGTGTTGTGCAATTAAGAAGTACAGGTAGTCTTCGACTTAAAACAGTTCTTTTAGTGACCATTTGAGTTATATCGGTATTGAAAAAAGTGACTTATGACCATTTTACACACTTACAACCATTGCAGCATTCTCATCAAAATTCAAACACTTGGCAACTGACTTATATTTATGATGGTTACAGTGTCCTGGGGTCATGTGATCCCCTTTGGTGACCTTCTGACAAGCAAAGTCAATGAGGAAGTCAAATTCACTTAACAACCGAACTTTAACTTAACAACTGCAGTGATTCACTTAACTACTGTGTCAAGAGAGGTTGTAAAATAGGGCAAAACTAACTTAACAAATGTTTTGTTTAGCAGCAGAAATTTTGGGCTCAATTGTGGTCGTAAGTTGAAGACTCTCTATACTGATCATAACTCATAGCTCGTTGGTGTTCTTTCCTATTGGCTCTATTCCCTTCCATATATAGAGCAACTGGTTTAGGATGATCTGTGCCCAATTGATATTTTTAGCGTGGGTCCGTGCACAATACAAAATGACATTGTTTTCATCCAGGTAGGAGGAGTGAAGGTGTGGAGAGAAGAGCAGGGAAAAAGCCATTGGTAGTGGAGTGGAAATGGGAAAGGAAGGTGCTGGGGAGATAGAGGTTATTGGGATAGACTGGACTGGGAGCTGCTGAGGGAAGAAAAGGCAACAACACACTGGTTTTACTCACTCTCCAGATCTGATGTCATCCAAATCCTGGAATATTCAAAGCATTCCAACTCTCAATTGTTGTAAACCATGGAAGAACCCCCAAACACTGATTTAGAAGAACTTCTGGAACAGAACGGTTTCTTCCATGTTGAACGCAACACATTTTTTTCCATTTTTGTGCATGCTTATAATAAACTCTTTATTCTTATTATACACCACTTCCATTTTACTGTACACTCTATAATTAGAGCCCTTCTGTTAAATGGTAGCCTCCATACTCACGCTCATTTTTTATGACAACTTTTTTTAATGCCAACCGGTTCATTTTTGTTCTGGCCATCTTTGTAAAACTTTGAAATGAAAGTATAAAAACTGTGCTGGTATCTTGAACCTGAAGTATTATTATTAAGCACCCTATTATTCTTGCTGATGGAATAAATTTTTGTCATTGGGAAATGATCTATCCTTCCTAAACTCTTAATTAATATCTTTCTACTGTAATAAACTTTAGGTGGCCAGAATTATCGAATGAGAGAGCAAGTTCGTTAAATTTGTATTTATTAATGAGATGAAGAATGATATGAATAGGGCCCAATCCTACAACCATCCTGTCAGTTAAATGCCAGGCAGTATTAGGTTGGATACACATCTTTTCTCGGTCATGGGCTTTATGGCATATGAGATTCCCTTACTGTTTCGTTTTCTGAATAGGACAAAGCTGTGTTCTTTTAAAACTAGAGGTGGAAGGCGGTATGAAGCAAGAGCTTTTTGTGCTGAGTTAGGAAAATAAGTAGAGAGTATCTTCAGCCCAATTGCTCTGATAAAGTGACTAAGATTACTGTATACCACAAAGCCATGAAAGGCCCATGGACAAAAAAACAACCCAGAGAACTTTATTATAGTACAGTATTAAAGTAACTTCTAAGGAACAGATAACTGCTCTAATTAGAGATTGTGTTGTTTTAATATCTGTTGTCTTTATACTTTAGAAGCCTTGTTCTCTCTTATTCTTTCTTCTCTGTGCATGTAGGGCATTATGTGTAATTTTAGATTAAGTTCAAGGTTTATTTTTCTACTTTTTAATTTCTTGGGAGCTGACATTTAAGATGAAAGCCATCGTTCTCCCATGGTCATTAATTATCGTGGATGAACAGTGTCTTATGGTCTACTGGGAACATTGTATCGATTTTTGTAAATTGGGCTTCCTATATTATATTTCTTCAGTTCCTGTTTTAAAAAATAAAGTTTGATTTTTACCTCTTGCCAGATTTATTTGTTCCCTACTGGAAGAGAAAGCCCTGGAACCCCTAATCACATTCTAAGCTACAAGTCCAGGTGATTTTCTAGAAGATGGGTGGTACAACAGAATTACCAAGATGTTACACTAGGATAGGAGACAGGTCCTGGATGTGTAGAGGACTTCTGGGGGAGGAAGTACCATTCCTTTGGTGGGAATTATTATTATTTTATCTTGTCTTTATTTGTTAGTTCAAGGAAACATACGTAATGCTCCCTATATTCTGCACAACAACCACCCTGGGAAGTGTATGTTGTGAGAGAGTAAGTCACACAAAACCAGCTTTCTTGCCTAAAGGAGGAGGAGTAGAACTCATTGTGTTCTGATTTGTAGACCAGCACCTTAACCACTACATTAAATTGGCTCTGATTCAAAAGGTGTTATGATTTTAATTAACAGATCTTCTAAATAGTTTATTGAAAATGTAGGAAAGGCTGCATTTTAATCCTTGCCAAAGGGTTAATCTTTCTTGGATTCATCTCATATTCCTGAGAAAAAGTATGCATTTCCCCCCTAACATCTGTATATTAAGTGTGTTACATTACATGTCTCAATTTAATTTAGTGCTATTTAGTCTTCTTTTAATCCACTCCAGTTGGAATATACTTTCCTTTTCTTTGCACGTAGGAATTCTTTTTGGCTAGATTATTTCCTGATGCCATTTGATATTCTAAAATTAAAGTATGTCATATGAATGCCAATACAATTCATGCTTTTATGAAGCTTATTGCTTTATGTGATTCAAATGTGAATACAGTCAAGAACCACTTATAGACTGGGTGTTTGCTAAGTGATAAGAATTTTATTAAACAGATGGAACCAGAAATGGCAGAAGGCTCCCCCCCAAGCAGAAATTCAGTTATGCCATCTCTGATAATGCCCAATTATAACATACATATAAATAGAAATAACTGTTAGCTAAAGTTAATTTTTTAGGGAGGCTTTATCTCTTAACTGATACAGGTTTTTGATGCCTGTTAGGTATGAATTTTAAAAGCTGCATATTTTCTCACTAAGGAGCTTCTGGGAAAAGGGAAAGAAATCAAATAAGACCCTGATTTCCACACTTAAATAAATTAAACAATTTAATATTGTGCCATTTATTCAGGAAACAAATGACATTTTCTTTGGGAGTCAAGATTTATTAATTAAGGTTTTTGTTTTGAATTTAATTCTAAGTTGTATAATACTGAAATAGGTTGGACTTGATGTCATTGAATCACAGAAATAATCTAGAATTACAAGTACAAGAATTTGAACCTTATGCTATGTTCTAATTTCTAATTTCTTAGGTAAAAGATAAATTGCCAATCTGTGAGGATTCCTGTGAAATAGGCATGAGCAAAAAAAATATTTTCCCCCCTTTTCAGCCCATTTACTCGTCTTTCATACATTTGTTTTATAATTTTATCCTCAATCCTTCTGGCTATATGAACAAATCACCTCAATGTAATCCTTTCATATTGGCCACTTGCTTTTCTATTCAATCCACGTTTATTTAGCACCTGTTAATTCCTGACTCTTTCCCCCCTTGTTTTAACACACAAGCTGTTTTAAGAAGCCCATTCCTACTGCATTCAACTATTACAGGTAGTCTTTGAATTACGACCATTTAACACTGCCCCTTCTTTACCATCACAGGGCTGTAAGGATAGGTGAGGTTGTGGCACACACCAAATACTATTTGTTTCTAAATTAGAAAATATCACCTAAGGATATGGCTTAGAAAATGGGTTTTTTTGGGGGGGGGGGACATTATAAATAAATCCCCATTGGGAACAATGGGAAAATATTTTTACATTATTTTAGATAATTTAGATTATTAGCATCTATAGCCCCCCCCCCCCCCCACCCCAGCCCTGTCTACCATAATAGAAAGAACAGAGGTATTTTGAGTTTCTGAATATAAATTCCAGGTTACTGCAGAATATTCTCTGGATGACAAAAGAGAACATTCAATGAACATTCTTCTGAATTTTATTTTCTGTTAGTACATCATCTCTGTGCAGCTTCCTGGTTGTTTCAGTTTTTTTTTTAAATGGCCCTGGCTTGTTTCATATAGGCTCTGGGTTTTTTTTTAATAGTTTGCCTGCCAAGTGTAAGAGCATCTACTGTATATCGTTCTTGCTGATGTTTTTCCTTGCAGATTGGAGTGGCTTTGTCTACAGGCAGAAATTGTGGGGGTGGGTGGGTGGTGGAGGAGCGAAAAGGAAGCTACCAGTTCTTAATTGCATGAATAGCATTAACAGTAGAAGGAAAGCTGAGATCAAGCTTAGGGTAGACATTGTTAGGAATATAAGTCACCTAACAGCTATTTGGGTTGGAAATACATAAACCAGGATAGACATTTTAATACTGTATCTTTAAGAGAGTCCTGGAGGTGTAATTGGGTGTGGTTTCTCA